ATTATTTCGTTACTTTTTAGTGTACTGTTTTTTTGAGAATATTTTGTTTTGTTTTTAGTGCATTTTGTTTTGTTTTTAGTGTATTTTTTTACGTAATAGACACTCTCGCCTTTAAAGGTTATTAATTTATCTAAATATAGATATAGAAATCCAGAATGCTATTAACATCTTATTTACGTCAATATTTGTTTAAAATACAATGGAACATAATATCGAGAAAAATAAACTTTATCCTATTTCAAGATTCTTCACAGTTCAAGTCGCAGGATAAAGCTAGTTTTCCAATAAAAGTTTTGTACACTGTATACCCTTCTTCGGGGCAATGTGGCTAGCAGCGTCAAGAGTAAAATGTTATGGTTTTTTACAGCTGTCAAAAGTGGAAAAGCGTCGCGAAAATAAGGAGACATTAATGCCTTAATGTTCCGAAGAGTAGACTAAAATATTGTTTTTGAAATTCAAAAACATGGTTTTGATACTAGAAAATTTAATAACAAGCCATGAGCAATCTTACTAATAATATAATGCGAAAGTTTGTATGTTTGGATGGATGTTTTTAGAAGGTGTCTTCTATACGATGATTTTTACAATGGTAGTGCCCGCTTTAACATCTTAGCCCGAATGGGAAGGCACGCCCGGTGTAATACCACTACCACACAGAAGACAGGCGTGAAATGAAAGCAATTCCGTGTTTCGTCTGATAAGTGTGGTGCCGGAGGCCTAATTTAAGTCCCTTACTCCTTACCACCATTTTCTCACAAGGAGAGGATGGGAAGGGGAAGTGGATTTGACAGTGGAGGAAATGCATAGGAAGGAAAAATATCGTCTCCTCCTCCGTCGGATAAGGTTAGGCAACGCATCTGAAATTGCGGATGTCTATGGGCAGCGGTCGCTTCGCCATTTTGGCGGATTCAGGTGACCGCTTGCTCGTTTGTCACCTTATGTTATAAAAAAACGAATACACTGGAAGAATTCATAGGCTACTAAAAAAATTCCGCACGGAATGTGTCTAGTGGGACAACTAATCTAAGTATGAACAAAATAAATAATCCAAATGTCTAACTTTATTACACTTTCAATTTATATCTGTATTTCAAAATCTTACTTAGATCGTTGTTAGAGATTCGATTTAAATTAAAATAATCAATTAAATTGACATTTCATCAAATAACATTTTAAGGTAGATGAAACAGTATCTTTTGATGAATATGATAAATTTCAAGGAACAAATCGAAATGCCGAGGATCTACAAATTGATAAAATTACACAGAATTTGTGCATCGCGCAAAATGCGAGACGTACATACCTACATGCAAACGTGGGAAGGTAGATAAAACACGATCACACGAATTGTATTAATATGTTATTATTTTCCTTTGAATCCCACACCTTTATGTGACGTGTTGATTCTGAGAAATGGAAAGGTACAGGATGTGATACTTTAACTTTACGAAACATCTTCTTGGGAGTATAGGTTTTCATGAGAATTAACATTACTGCGAATTTTAGTTATCATAACACTTGTTGATGAACATTTTGATATCTCTGTATTTTTTGCATCAGTGGCTCAGGGCTTTAAACACTTGGCTTGTAATGGACAAGTGTAGGGTTCGAAATTTCATATGTATAATTTACCCGACATTTTTACGGTGAAGGACAACATCTTGATGAAACCTGCACATATCGACGATGAAATTCAAAGATACTCGTATGTGTGAAGTCAACCAACCCGCAAAATGTCAGCGTGGTTAACTATAGCCTAGTCACACCTTACTTAGGGTGGGCTCCGAGCCTGTGGGGACGAATAATGAACTGATGATAATGGTGATGGTGTATTTTTAAAATAAATATCTTCACATTTGGATAGCTAATGTTAGTATACAGATGCTACTATTTGCATGTTCTTTGATATTAAAGTTTTTAACTGATTTTTTCACAAATTAGAAAGTAGATAAATAAAGCCAATATAATTTGATGTGGGTCTTGATTGTCGTGAATTGCGTGACGATGTACATTTATAAAATCGTTCAAAACTTCTCATTTTTATCAGAAGTTCATGCGTCAATGGACCGCCTGCCAGCCAATGGAAATGTTTCGCGTTCGGTCAATATTTGTTAGTTTTTTAATATTTTATCGAGCTGTTTTTTTCATCGTTTTGTACTTGAATGAAGCCAGACGCTCTTATTATCCGAAGGCGAATACAATATTGATTTTATATTATGTTTCTAAAATTGGAATCTTTATGTCTAATAATTCGAAGAAGTGTTTGTTAACTGTTTTTATATTAAAATCTACAATTCAACGACGTCCTTGGTGCTTTTTACAGTTTGATTATTATGATAATTAATACAATTAAATAATCAAGTTTTATGACCAAACTTGGGTAGACAGATGGTTTCTTTTCCTACAGTATGTTTTGAATAACACAAGGACACAGTAAATGTAAAAAGACCTTTGAAAAACAATCGGAATTAAAATAAGTTAACAGTAGTTACAGTTTAGTAAGTTATTAGTTAACAGGCGGTTTAAATGACAGTAACAATTTTAGCACTTGTAAATTAATTGTTCTCCGTTGCTGCAAACTTTGTTGTAGATATTATGAGTTTCCACTATCCAGACATTTGTATGAAACCTGGTTTGTTAAACGGAATTCACTAATTGACAAAAGCAAAATATGACATATATAAGGATGAATCATCTATCATTACTGATTACTAATATTATAAATACGAAAGATTAGATAGATCGATGGATGGTTGTTAGAGTTTGTAGCCTAAACGACAGTAAGAATCGCGATGGAATTTGACATAGACGTAGAGGATAGTGTGGAAAAACACGTAAGCTACTCGATTTTGATTCATCTATTTCCACGCGGACGAAGTCGCGGGCGAAAGCTAGTAAGTCATAAATATTGTAAATGCGAAAGTTTAGATGGAGGGATGGATGGATGTTTGTTAGAGTTTTTTTTAATTCCTTCTTTTTTAATTCGTTTAGTTTTCAATCGTTTAGTTGCACACCTCCATAAAAGTTCATAGAAATCAAAGCGTTAATAAACAATAATGCGGTAGTTTAATCATAGGTGTGCGCGCGCCCTTATTTTGTTTTTAAAATTTAGATAGAAAAAAAATAAACTTTAAATAATTACATTTACACTAGAGAAGGTATATTTGTTTTATCGATAATTAAATATTGTCTGTATGGTAGAAGGATTTGTAATTTTATAATCAAACAAGCGTATCACGGAATACCCCGAGGGCATCCATTAACGTATATTATTGGTTCTGGATATATTTAGAATAGTTTTGTTTATACTGACAACTGTTTTGATACAAACAATTTAATTTATGTTTAGTGTATAAGGGATACTTAGAATCGATAGAATCATTAACGAATTTTATTCTTTGCTATTAGTATTACGCAATGGGGAAATTTTGCATTGTTCTAAGTCCCAACCCAACTCTCCGTAGTTACGAAGTTACATGCTCTTTGGTTTATTTAGGTATGTGAAAATTAAAGGTAAGGGTTGAAACTTCTAAGAAAATTTCAAACAAGTATAATTAACGTAATTATAAGTAAATGCGGTAGCAGTTGATGGGCTTCGGGGTTGAAATCGTTTCTTCGAAATTTATTTCGAGTCCACATCTATAAACAAAATTTTGATTGCTGTCACACTTTATACTTATACCACATATGTACGAGTATCTTTATTTACATTTTACGGCGCGGTTAAAACAATTGCTTTAACAACAAAAAAGATTTTAAAACAGATCTTCTTAAGATTGGTCGAATAATTAAAACAATATAAAAAAACACCTGAAAAATATTATTACATTTCATGGAAAAGAATTTAAAAAACTAGTTATCCACAACATTCCGAAGATTTGTAAAGACTTGTCTGGCTTAAAATACACTGACAAATCACCTACTTTTGTTGATGACGTTAAATGTAGTTTTTTGCAAATTTTCGTGCTACAGTCTTAAAAATGGATCGGATTCAATTATTGCTTTTTGTTTCAAATGTTTTTATTGTGCTACAAATATTATGAATTCATCTGCCACATATGTTGATTAATAATTACTTAAACAGTCCTTAGTGTAATGTCTACTGTCTAAGCGATAGTGTTCTATGTACATTCTTTACCATGCCATTTAAATGTCACGCCTAATATATTAAAATCAGCAATTGTATTGCTTTTGATATTAACAATTCACATCATAAGTCATGTTCACAATAAAACTAACAAACTACACTTGAACTGTACAGTGAAATAACATCGATGCGCCGCCGAAATTTCTACCGTGCACTAATTAAAACTTGAATCCCTGAGGCATGCTTTTAATTAAATAGACACCCTCGGAGACACATTTCTGTATATGAACGATGCTCTTTTCAATGTTTATCATTATTCCTGCATTCAATTCCTCTTTTTGTTTTCACGAGTCGTTTTTTATACCTTTAACAGAACAACGGTTCTTTACAATGCAATAAATTTTTATCGAATTGAAAGCTAAAATTCTTCTTAGCGATAATTAAATAACATTTTTTTCCCTTATTAATAAAAAAGATGAAAGGAAAATTTCCTCAAAGTCCGGTAAGTGTACAAGTCAAACAATATAGAACGGGACGAGAACTGGCGAAATTGAGACGGAATCATTTATAAACGGGGGAGCACGAAATAGGAGGGGAAAGGTGTGTTGCATTTTCTATGAGTTCAAACTTTGTTACCTGATCCAGGTTTGTTCTATAGTTATATGGGACAAGTAACCACTGCCCGCGTTATCTGTTAATTACGCTGACGATAGGTTGATTAATCTGCATGTCAGTTAGTAGAATATATGTTACTGAACTAAACTTTATGAATAAAATTGTTGGCTTCACTTAAATTGTAGCAATCTGTGCTAATCTTATAAAGAGGAATGTTTGTATTTTTATATATATTGAAATAACTCAAAAAATATTGGCCTGATTCCGAAAATTCTTTCGCCATTAGAAAGCTACGTTATCGCTGAGTAACATAGGCTAAATTTTTAAATTTTAGCAACAGCTAGTAAACTACTATAGATAATTGAAAATACATTGATTATAGAGTTGGTGGCGTTCTTGAAGTTATTAGAAAAGAAATAAAATCCGGTAATAGCTTATTTTTTATTATATGTCACGTTATATATGCTACGCGTTATGATCTGCCTAGTAATCAAAATTCGAAATTGAGTTGAATTTTTCTTTTGGGCACAGGTAAAGAGCGTGAGTTAGGGGCGAGGGACACAGGAAGCGCAGGAGCTCGAGGGCTGCGCGGGGCACTCGGCACGGTTTGCATATTGCATTAGATTTAAATTGTTTACGTCGTTAAGAAAGAAACTTTTCCCAAAGAGGGAGGAATATAACAAACTTTTTCTAGAAAGTCGGTAAATTTACCGTTAATACGTATTAAAATTAGCACTGTTTGTTCGTATTGGTTACATTTTACTATAGTTTAACTATATAAAAGCAATATTGGAAACCGCAAACATACGTATCATAATATATAATCTTTACATAAATGTAATTGTATATTGTCATGACTAATCCAAACTCTCTTTAGAAAGTAACGAACATGTTATTCAATGATTGAAAAACATTTTCTGTGCGATAATAAGTTTAATAATTGTTTAAATCTAATAGCGCAGTGTACAAAGTCTAACCTAGAAAATATTATTTGTAATAAAGTGTCTGACTGCGTGAAAGTGTTATGAAACATTTCACTTCAGACACAATGTGGTTGCGAACAGTCACAGCGTCATTTGTGTGAATGTGACAATTGATGTATTACCATTGTTCTCTATCCTAATATATACATTACGACTATTAACTAGGTTACGTTATAACTAAAGTAAAACAAACTCCTATTAGTTCATGTCTAATAGCTAGTGCACATGAACGTGTACAGAACGGACCATGAGGACTATTTTAATATTTTCTATTATCTTCATTTGTTATCATAAAAGTGTTTGTGCAAAGGGTTTTCTGCGATTCGTATCAGAGAAAATGGGAGATTTCGCATATACACTATTGGATACCATTAGAAATGTTGGAGATCGGCTTTCACACTTTTTTCAAAATCGCGCAACAGTAAAGAAAGGAGTAACGACGCTTCCGAAAAAAACATATTTCTGGAAAGATGCAACTGCAAAAACTACAAAAACACTAAAACGTACTGCAAAGCAAGCGCCGCCGGTTGACGCTTACACGACTAAGACCCTCCATTACAGAGTAAGATCTGATCCGATGTCATCAATGGATACTCCTCAATTGATTACATTGCACGGGAGACGATCCGAGTCACATATCGTTTTAACAGAAGACGGTTATCTTTTGACTCTACATCGCATAATAGCATCGCGTCTAAAAAGAAATGCTGATGTGAAGAACAACACAGTGTTACTCCATCATGGCTTGCTCGGCAGTTCGGCAGATTGGGTTTTACTTGGTGCAAAGAAATCATTACCATATTTACTATCTAATCTTGGATATGACGTATGGCTTGCAAATGCAAGAGGAAACGTTTACTCGAGAGGTCACGTGTCGAAAAATATAAACAATTCAGATTTTTGGAAATTTTCATGGCAAGAAATGGGTCAGTACGATTTACCAGCAATAATTCACTATATCAGATTAGTTAAAAATACTAGTGATCCTATAAGTTTTGTTGGCCACTCTATGGGTGCTACTGCTTTACTTGTTTTATTGTCAACGTCACCAATTTTTAATACCTTTATCAGAATAGGTGTATTGATAGCGCCTCTAGCCTTTATGGTAAATAGCAAAGGTCCGCTAAGAATGTTTGGCCCCTTTGCGCCTCGGCCACCTCTGATTCAACAAGTAATGAGCACAGGTGAATTTATGCCATCAAAAGTAACACCGGAATGGTTCTCATCAAGACATTGCGCGAGACCACAAATATTTTGTAGGAATCCACTATTCTTTCTTGCGGGTGACATACTTCAAGGGCACTTATGGGATGACAACCTATTGACTAGAGTATTAAATCATGCACCAGCTGGCACTTCGACTTACACCATTTTACATTATGCGCAATTAACGAGAAACGGCAAATTTCATAAGTTTAGCGATGTTATAACAGAGTTTCCATTAAATAGGATTAGTCTGCCTATTGCTTTGATAAGTTCCAGTGATGATTGGTTGGCGACATTACCAGACGTCAAAAAATTGTACTTCGGACTCTCAAATCCGATTGACCATTTTGTTATACGTAATGATAATTTTAGCCACACCGAATTTGTTTGGGGACCAAAAGCAGATATTATAGTTTTTAGAAAAGTTATAGATTATATCGAGAATGGATTAAGTTTGAGTGTGATTAAATTAAATGAAGTTTAGTAAAATGAGATAAAAGGGTTTTAGCTAGTTATTTTATAATCGTAATCGTGTATTATTTTATTGATATTGACACAAATAATTACATGTTCTGGGTTCTTCTAAGTTGTAAAGTATTTCATGACTCTCTTAAAACAACGTAACGAATTAGATCGGTGTTAAAGGAATACCTTTCTTTTTATTGCTTCTTTCGTCTGATGAGAAAAGTTTTAGTGAGCTGCACCTACTTCAGAGGATTTTAGTTAATTCCCTACAAATGTTAAATGTGTAGACTTTCACGAAACAGGAGTTTTCTAATTGATACAACACTTTAGAATGTAACAATAAAACGAAGAATTGTAAGAGAATTATAATAAATTTTTATATCTAAAATATTTGCGTTTTATTTATATCACCAACTAAAAGTTAGTCCTATAAAAGATTAATTTTTATAAATAATAATTGTCAGTGTTACTTTAAAAGGTAGCCACTGTTTAATTAATACGTGTTTAACTTTTTAACCGCTGCTGATTGACAATAATTCCTCTATAATTACATGAACACGTAAACAATAGCAGCTAACAGCAAAATCACTAAACAGTATATAGCTTATGTCTTCAAAACTATGATAAATCAATCCGAAATTCAGATAACAACATGTTTCATTAGGCTATAATAACTTTATTTACAACATTTCTACCCTAATAAATTGTTATAATCAACATTGGTAACACAATTTACCTACTATCTAAAAGAGGAAAGATTTGTATTTTTATATGCATTGACGTAAATTAAATAATTACTGGGCCGATTTCAAAAAATGCAAAACAAAAAGCTACGTTATCAGTGAGTTACATAGGCTCCTTTTTACTATTTTTTAGTTCCACGCAAACGCAGCCGCGAGCCACAGTTAGTATGTATATTATAGATTACGTAAGAAAATTCAAATCCTTGTAAATGGTAGAAATAAATGTACAGGTTTTCAAAATAATAAATAAAGTACACAATATGAAGAGGAAGTGTAATAAAGTGCAAAGATTTAAAAATAATAATCTGAAAGACAATTTGCTTTCATTCCATTTGATAAAAATTATTCAGCCTTTATTAATTTTGCAGTGTGATTTCATAATGCATTTAGAATAAGAAAAATTTCGCACAGCACTGTTCTTCTTTTAATTAATTCTATTCCTTCATGTTCACGAGCGCATTTTTAATGTTCTCTCATACGAAGCCTTTAAAAGCACTTTTGTTTTCTTCGCCATGGACCGTTAAAAAAGCGCCCAAGTAAAGGAGCGCAAACAGTTAATACTTATAATCGACTTTTGTCCAAATCTTAGATGGTAAACTAGACTAGAGATTTATCGTGAAAATCGGTGAAAATATGCCGCATTAGAACAAATTCTCAATAAAAACCAAAAATCCTTTATAAGATGTAAATGTATTGATTTGTATTATCGCAATTACTGTAGAAAGTCTAAATATTAAAACTTGACCAATAAACAGTCAAAATAAGAAAGAATAAACATAACATAATGTTCGTGTCAAGAAAAGCTAGCAAATCAGATTACTGTCCATTTTTTATATAGAATTGAAGAGACATAGTTTAACATATGTTAAGTAACAATATTGACATCACTGCTTATTGTCTTTAGAGAAACGGATATTAATAAAAACATTTTAATAAATTCGCGGATGACTGGTAATAATAAAAGGCGATCAGTCGAAATAACATAACAGATTTTTAATATGTATGTATGTAAGATAGCAAAAAGTAGTAAGTGTTTACTTATACCAGACCTTAAAAATTTATACACAAAGAATTGCTTGGGTTAAATCTGTCTATATTATTTTTAAACTATTCCATTGTGTAGTCGAGTATCAACAAAATAAAATTCGTTAATTAATAACCTAACGAAATATCAATCTTCAAAACCTAACCATGTCTCTAGCAGTACTGTTCTGCTTTTTAATTCATTTTACGATTCTAACATCTCACACATCTGCGTTTGATTCAGAGATATTTATGAATCTTGTTTGTAAAGTAACTAAATTAATAGACAGTGCAATAACTCGTTTGAAGCTGGCTGCAATGTGCCTATCGTGTGAAATTGATTCAAAAAAACAAGAACTTAGAAACTATTATACGGAATTTGTTAACGAAACGCTTGAATCAATATTGCATTACCTTCCTTTTTCTGAAAAACCTGTGTTACCAGATGACATAACTGAAAGTTCTGAAGAAATAACCGAAACTACAGAAGTGCCTATAGAAACGACGTTTGAGACAGAAACTGTTACATTTACAGAAATAGAGCCAGAATCAACATATGAAACTGAAACTGCTACATTCACTGAAACAGTAACAGCAGATATTACAGAAACAACGCCAACAAATGTAATGGTGACAACGCCTCGTTTAATACCAAAACCAACTCGGGTCAAGCCTATTAGCTACACAGTGACAAGATCCACAACAATGATGACACCAAAGTTACAAGTTGTGACAAAGCCAACAAATCTTACCCGGACAAAAGTTGCTATGACACCCAGAACAATATGGAAGCCAAAAACCGCAAAAACACCAGCAGTATTAATTTTTGTGTCAGCAAACCCAATAACAGTTAAAAAACAAACAACACCTAAAACACCACCAAAAATAACGTCACCGAAAACAATAACAAAGATAACAACAGTTAAAACACCCAAAAGTCGTGTTTTCGTGTCACCAAATCCAATAATGGTTAAGACACAAAAGACAGTGAAAATTCAAACAACTACAATGAAAATGACAACGCCAACAACAATCAAAACACCAGGAGTTGGTGTTTTCGTGTCACCAAATCCAATAATAGTAACAAAACGAACAACACTAAAGGCAGTTCCAACGAGAACACCTGCAACAACACTAATGACAATGCCTACGAGAACAACGATGAAGACACCAACAGGGGTTACGTCAACGACCGTGAAGATGCCAATATCCACGACGAGTCTGGGAATACCGAAAACTTCGACTACTTTAAGATTACCAAGAACAATTAGCAACGGCCCTTCTATCATAGTAAGAAGAATGTCGTCACCCATTAATAAAGATAAGAAAAATGGTAACCGTATCGGGATATTAATAAACAGATCAGTTCAGTTGGATTTAGTTAATACTCATGGATACAGAGCAGAAATTCATACCGTAGTAACTCCGGACGGTTACTTATTAACTCTGCACAGAATATTGCCAAAATCTAAATTCACAGGAAGGAACAATAATAAAACTATAATTTTACTTCATGGCTTGCTAGGAAGCTCTATAGATTGGATTTTACTCGGACCGAAACATTCTCTTCCTTATAAGTTAATCAATGCTGGATACGATGTATGGTTACCAAATGTTAGAGGAAATGCCTACTCTAGAGCACATGTAAGTAAAAGTATACATTCCGCTGAATTCTGGGACTTTTCATGGCATGAAATAGGGCTATATGACTTATCATCTATAATAGATTATATTAGAGAAAAAAATTCTGAAAAAAGCCAAATAATTTTTATAGCTCATTCAATGGGAGCCACTGCGTTATTGGTCCTTTTATCAACATCTCCATATTATAATACGATTTTAAGTTTCGTTATTCTGTTAGCTCCGTTGGTATTCATGCAGCAAGCTAAAGGCCCACTACGCCTTCTTTCAGAATTTAAGAGCTTAGATCATAATGCAACAGCTAAAATTTTAGGAGACCGTAGTTTTAATCCGGTAGACTCATTCATGAGAGTTGCAAAGAAAAAATTCTGCAAAGAAGATGCGATTCTATGCCTCCACCCGCTGTTTTTGCTTACTGATGGAGGCAAAACAATAAAAAGTAGTAGGCACAAGAAAAACATTTTAACAAACATGAGAACTGGAGGTTCAGTAAAGTCAATTCTGCATTTCTGTCAACTAATTAAAAGCGGTCAATTTGAAATGTATGACTTAGGATCTACGTATAATCTTAAAAAATATGGTACAGTGTCTCCACCGAAATATCATTTACGTGATATTAAACTGCCAATGGCGTTGTTTAACTCACACAACGATTGGCTATCCACAGTGCCGGATATTCTAAATTTAATGTCACGGCTTTCTAATGTCGTAACTCATCATGTTGTGCAGTTATCATCTACTGAATTTAATCATCTTGATTTTCTTCTAAGCATGAATGCACCTAAATTAGTATATAAACATGTTTTTGATGTTTTGGATCAATTATTTTAATGTTCATAATTGACCAACGTACTCATTTAAGATTTATTTTATTTATGTGAAAACAATTTTAGAAAATTACTGATTAATTCATACTTCGCATGGACTTTACTTGTTATTAGATTTACTTAATAATAGGAACTTGTAATTTACGATTATGTTTATAGTATTCGTTTTTGGTAATTTTCAAAATTGTTTTTAAAATATTACGATACCGTTTTGTTTGTAAATTAAAAAAATATAAAAGAGAAAATTAATACAAGCTATTATACAAAAAATTAAAGTTAAATGACGATATAATAATTATTGTATTCCGTGCATATAAAAAATTATAATATAACCGTATTATTCTATTATTACAAAGTCTAGAATCTAAAAATAAATTATAAACAATTTAAGTGGTACTTTTTTAATTACTAGCTTTCAAATGCGACTCCTATAATGATTTATGTTCTTTCAGATTATCCCCTACATCTATGCCAATAATGTGCCGTTACTTTAGCCAATAAAGGTAGGAATATTTACAAACTGCCTAGATATAAAAAAAAAAAACAAATTTTATACCGTGCGAAAAATGTCAGTATAACGTTTGGTTCGTTGACAGCAAATGCGGCTTGGTGTGCAGTTGACGCCTTGTTTCAACGGTAACACGTTTACATTCAAAACCACTGTTTTGAATGTTTTTTTTTTAATTAATTTTGAAACTTACAATCACAGATAAAAAGTATAGTTGATAACATTTTTGCATCAACAAGAATAGAAGGAACAATGATATAAAACAATAGATATGTTGTCTAACAAATCAACCTAAACAACACCCATTTTTTATTTATCTTATATTTCAAACTATCGTCAAGTTTAAGTATAATTAAAACTTACACAAAAAGGGAGACAAAAAGCATTTATCATTTTTTATCTTTATATATAGCTGTCGCCAAAAAACTTCGTTAGCGTGGAATTAAAAAGAATTGGCTTAACAATCCTGCATGAAACATTCAATCAACAGCTACTTACAAGTGAGGTTATCACAGGCATAATAAAAAACATACCCACATATATAAAATTGTGTGTCGTATCCATATATTCTACAAATATAAAAAAAAATAGTAACTTACCAGCATAACTGCATCGACGGGATAAAAATGAAGATAATTATATATTATTTAATTTCATAATAACATCATTTAATATACATATGATGATATCTGTTTTACTGTTCTATTTATTCTAAATGCTATAATGGCTGTAAAGATAATGTACATTCTGTAAAAATAATGATAAATTTGAAATCGCTGACTCACTCGCTTTATCTCGCACTTGATTCGCACCGGGAAAGTCCCCCAACATCCCGCCCTACAGAGTTTTGTTGGCGTACGCTACCGCATCAAATAATAACATACAACGAAAAGGTACCTCTCCGTTTGGATCGATACAGCAAAGGGCTTATTGATAAACATGATAAATGAGAGGTGATAACTCTCAGATGTGATAAAAGATGACGCCTTTTAGCTTTCCCGGTTTTTGTATGGGGTTATATGGGACTATTTTTATCAATATTTTCATTGAATAAATAAAGATTATTATAAATTCGCAATGTAGCAAATATTCGTATGTTATACTTCAAGATAAAACATAAAGATTAATTTTGAGGAAACGTTTTATTTTTTATTAAGATTTTTTATTTATTATTCTAAATGATTAATGTTAATTAAATGTTGCATTTTAATAAATTAAATAAAACAGATAAAGCAGAAAAACAATCAACATTATTTGTTTCCAAAAAAGTATTTTCTATCGACCTATCACCGGCATAACTAATGCACCGCAGCTGCATTCCCCACTTTTATTGCAAAATAAAACATTAAATATTGCAATTCCACAGCGGAGGGTGGGACTTCAATGTTTGTACAAATACGGCAGGGTGCACACTTCGATAATCAAAATGAAATGAATGTATTTTTCTGTTTATTTCAATTAAAAATAATGTGTAATTAAAAGGATATTTCGAAAAAAAAGTTGCAAAGTAAAATATTGAAAATCACTTTAAATGCTTACTTTAAATCAAACACACAGATTCAAACACAGACACTAAAATTCAAAACATAACACGAGATACAAAAAGTCTCTAAAAACTGTATTTAATGGTCAACACAAAACAAAAAGCTCTAAGAATCGCGGGCGCACAAACGTGACATAAAAGCCAAAGCTACGAAAGGACTGGGACTATATCGCAACCGCATATTATGCACATATTCATAAATGACATTTGAGACACTACCTGTGTACTTTGTACCTAACGATAACGATTTATCTGTTGCCTAACAAAGCTTAAAAAAATTATTAGGTACGCATTGTTGTTATTTCTGTATTCAACGTGAGTCTACATTATAAATAATTCCTATCTAATTATTATATCTTATCATACTTATTATTAACTAGCTATGGCCCGCTACTCCATGAGTGTAAAAATAAAAATGTACAAAAGTAAGTAGCCTATGTGGTCTTCCAGTTTATGCTCTACATCTTTATCAAATTATACCGAGATCCGTTCAGCCATTTATGCGGTAAACTCTAACAAACATCCATCTAAACTTTGCATTCATAATGTTAGTAAGATTTCTGGTGATATTCTACGTGTTTGAACTGAAAATACATAGATTAGTGTTGCACCATCGTCAGTAGGATTGGATAAATATTTTCTACAAATTAAAAAATCTTACAATTTTAATATTTTTATTATACATATTCGATAGATTACAGCATTGTCTCAATATATAATGCTAGTTTCAGCTACTTTATAATGATAGAAAAATAACAAAAAAACAAAAAACTGTTATAGTAGAAATGCGCTTATACAATTATGTGTAACCACCCTTAACATTAACCCTCCCCCAGTTGTAAGCAATATGTTTGTATTGGAGATGGAATTATAACATAGGATTAAAGTATCGGTCAGCAGTGTGAATCAATAATATTTATTATGGGCGACAACGTTGTACATTTGTACTCACTTATTGCAAACCCTCATAGTTGTGAGAAGGGACCGCACGTGTTTGTGTTCCTAATAATAACCATATATTATAGCTTGACGTTCAACACCAACGGACCCCAGTAGCTACTTTTGTTCCCTCCACACCAATGTTACTTGTAAATCGCAAATTACCTGTTATCTTAACATTTATAATTAATATTAGCATGAATAACGAGAGACAAGTTAAAATCGTAACGTCAAATGATCATTATTTTGAGAGATGTCATTCGACCATTCTATGGACATTTAGAAAGACGTTGTCAATGAAAGCAAAGCTTAATTCTTCTGCTCCCGAACTACATAAATTGGTATTACAATATGATGGAGTTATTTGACGATCCTCTAAGGTTTATGTGGCCTGTAGCCCACATCTCGGCTAAGTAGAATAAAACAAAAAAAAAACATCGTTTGAAGTCTATGCGCGATTCCAGGTTTTAATCCACCTCTATTCCAAATGCCATCGTGATTCATTTAACCGTTTTCGGTAATTACGAGTACAACATCTATCCATATAATCGAAGCTAACACTAGGTCTAGATAATATAAAATGTAGAAAAAAGTAAGGTATAAAGTCACACAAACAGATATTTACACAAACAAATTTAACAAATTTCTTTTAATTCGAACAGTTAACCGATTTTAATTCGATGTAAGTATTTTCGCAAAGAAAAGGGGAGCACGTGGTTGAAATACAAAGAATTCAGCCTTAGCAAATGCACTACGCGAAGCGCATACGGCAATTGGGCTTTCAAACAGATTCTCTTCGTTATTGTTTTTTTTCTACGATGTACCTTTTAGTATAACTAATATTTTATATTACCTGTCGAGCGCGACTTGATCTGTATTGACATAAAAAACGACGATAAGTTCGTAGCCTTATATGGTATTCCAAAATGTAATTTATCTTTTTTAATTTATCCACCCAGACTCGTTCAGTTCTTCTAGAAATATGATGTAACAAACATAAGTATATTCGCATTTTTAATATCAATATTTTTTTCCTATTACACTTTTGTATAACATTATGGACTGTAGATAATTTCAGTGATTCGCGATAAAAAAAATTCCCCAAATTTCCACTTTACGATTCCAGGATTCCACTGCTAAAGATAAATAAGCTGTACATGAAATTGAATTTCATTTAGGATCACTTTGTAATAGTACGAAAACAATTTTGAAGCTATGTTAATCACACTACGTTCGTAAACGGGTTTAGGCATACCGATTCACAAACAGACCTCGTTTGATTCGCAAATATTCGCTTGCACTGGAAATCGACAACCATTCAGTTGCAAGCTTAAAACAGCTTTAAACCTTAATATTGTATATACTAGTACAATATTAAATATCGTACAAGTACTGTCTACTATAGTTTGTCTAAATAAGATAGATTAGTTTGACAATTCATGTGACAATTTAGTAGGGATGGGTGGTGTAAAATCAGGCATGAATCTTTTCGATTTTCGATTTTTATTCTTATAGAAGTTGGAATCGATAGATCCATAGTTATAAGTTAACACTGTTTTCTCAAATTAATAATGACCTGCAAAACCATTACAAATAATGAGAGTAAATAAATATTTATTACTGCTACAGACTACAGTCGTACGTAATCGATTTGGATTTTGCTATTATTATTGTCATCGCTAAATTCTCTACACTACAATCAATACTAGAATTGTCTTCTAAATTAGTTAATAAGAAAATATCAACTGTAGTTAAGTTCGATAAATTTTATTTAAACCGAATATCGATAGTTCATAATTGTTCGCTATGCGTGTTTGTTCCTCACTACGATATCTGTCTATTAAGTATGGCATTTAACTTTAAATTTAATTCGATACTTCATATGCGTCATTTATCAACTAATCTATCTTATTTAGACAAACTATATGTAGCTTTCTTATTTTTTCATTTATATATTTCAATATAGAATAATTTTTAGATTTTTTAAATGGTTGTGTCGCGTCGAGCTTGTAAT